TGGTAAATAAAGGGAGATTCTAGGTGCTACCTAAACTTATAGTTGTCTTATTATTGACTGGTTTAACCTTGTAAGATGGTTGAGACACGTTCTGGAAAGATGCAAGACACGTCTGAGGAGAGACTCAAGACTGAAGAATCTGCCAAACCGCAGCCCAGTGCAACAATATACACCATTTTATGTAAAATATATATATATGGTTGTCCCAAAGGTTTTTTCTTAAAAGGTTATTTTTCTTATTACTTGTCGAATAATATTATTACGGCAAATACATAATAATAAATGAGAACAATTTTTACATAATACAAATACATTATACATAACGGTTAATAATATTGGTATTTCAATTTTTTGCAAGTGTTTATGAACTTTTGGGACAACCTTGTATAATATGATATATATGTGTATTTAAAAGAGCTGGAATAATTCAATTTACATACCTTGGCAGGTGCGCCTGTATCCCACATCTTTTCCATCAAAACATACACATTGGAACCCATCTGCTGCCTTTGGAGTAGCCACACATTTCGCATTTTTGGATTGACAGAGTTCTTTTCTTTCATTGATAATACAGGGATCTGAAAAATAAATAATAATATTATATATTTAAATAAAAAGGCATATATTGAATCATAATATCATTTATTTTACCTAGTTTTGAAAATAGAGCAATCCATAAATAAATCTTTAGATAAAAAGGCATATATTGGATCAAAATACCATTTATTTTACCTGTATATACGTATGTATATATTACCCAATATATGCCTTTTTATTTAAAGATTTATATATGGTATACTCTATTTTCAAAACAATATTATTTATATAATATTATTTATTTAAATATGAACCTACATTTTCTTCAAATAGTTTTCACTTCTGATTTTTTAATGCAATAGAACACTGTAACATTGGTAGGTAAAAAATGTTCTTAAGATTGACCAGTATAATATTTATCAATTTATTAAATATCAACCTTTTATTGTTCGAACTCGAGATCTATTGGTGGTTTATTGTATCGTCTGTTTTCTCTTGTAAAAGGGCTTTCATGTCCGAAAGGTATATATCAAAAATTTGAATATCCCTGGAAGCCTGCATTCTAATATTGATATAAATGATTATCAACGTAAATTCCTTCGACAATTAATAGAAAAATAATCAAAAATCACTTAGGATGAATATCTTATATTTAATGCTTTACGTTTCAAGCTTTCGAGTATTAACGACCCTTCAAAAATTTGAAACATTATTATCCATAAAATTTAATAACATTTATTTTATTATTACAGAAGCACGAAGTCTATCAGAATATTGTGCTATATTAGAATTATTTACATATATATCTTTAATTATTCACACGATGAATTAGTAGTGATTTATAAATCTGTGTACAAATTGCTCTAAACTTGCCAAAGTTTTAATAAGATTGATTATATACAGAAATATGGCATTATGTCAAAGTAAGCAAGTACAATTTGGTTAGCCAAGAGGACAAGCCAACAATAGCATCAACAAGTATATAGGTATTCCCAATGTCTACAATCTTTTTTTTTTTAATTCAGAATACTAATTCTTAGTTTATTTCATATTCTAAATTACCCTATAACAAAAGTTCTCTTAATTGTTTAGCATTTGTTTATAACAGTTACTATAAATTCCTCCTCATATACATCTAATTGTATATGAAATATTTTCAAATATTTTAATTTTTAAAAAGGGTATGTAAATATTACAGTTGAACCTGTCTATAGCGCCCCCTCTTGGTATTTACCAAAATAGGGTGCTATAGAGAAGGGGTGCTATAGACAGGTCACTATTAATGTAAATCGCATCGTACTACATATTTAAAATCGGTCGCTATAGAGAGGAAGGCGCTATTTAGAGGGGGCGTTATAGAGAGGTTTAACTGTATTTTTATTAATATTATTTTACTCTGTAGAATATAATAGTAATAGGACAGAGGTCGACAATCTTTTGAGTCGGAAGAGTCAAAAATTACATTTTACAAAATTTCAAAGTTTTTAAAGAGCCATTGTACTCGCATAAATAGAAACTTTATTTATTTATACGAGTACTACACGCAGCTTCAAAAACTATACGAAGCTTCACATCCAAAGAGCCGCATGATGCTTATGAGCCGCAGGTTGCCGACCCCTGATATAAGGCAATAATGCTCCATCTACACTGTATATATACGAAAAAAAAACAATTAAGCATTCAAATTTCTTTTAAAAATGAAATACATTTTTACACTTCTTATTGCGATGAAAACTATATTGGGTGGGCTTAGCTCATCAGTAGTGAAACATCCCAGCGGTCTGGTAGATTGATTGGCGAGACCGCTTAAAGGGTTAATCACTAATAATCCAAGCCCTTACAATATATTGTAACGTAGAAAATAAGAAAAGAAAAGCTTCAGGATGACACAGCCATTTATTTAAGGCACAAACTAAAATTATATAAAGTAATGTATAATACAATATAATGCGGTTTATAATTGTAGAACGACATTTGAAAATTATCTGGCATGTGTTTATTTTGAACGAAAAATCGAAATTTATTTTAAGGAGAAATAACGATTATTTCTAACCTTAGGGATGAAGTATGAAAGGATGAAGTGTGAAGAGTAATGATAAACGGAAAAATAAAAGTGTCCAGGGATGGTATTTCTCCTTAAAATAAATTTCAATTTTTTGTTCAAAAGAAACACATGCGGGATAATTTTCAAATGTCGTTCTACAAACTAAAATTGATTAAAAACACAAGAGAAGCAATGAGGGAAGTTTACACAAAGTAATAAAATATATAAACATCAAAATTAATAATATGTTAATAAATAAAAATAACTTTGCTACAATATTTTATTATCGTAGTAAGGACAGTAAATATTTGTTTTAGGTTTAAATGAAACTTGTTTGCTTAAAGGTTTTCCTTTCTTTTTTTTAGTATATAATAGTAGAAATTAAAAAGTAAGATTTACCTGCAGAATCAACAATGTTGTTTTCTAATATCATATATAAACATAATAATGTGAGAATATTTATATGTTTCATATCTTTAATATATTAATTATGATTCGATAATAAATGGGAGGATGATCTAGGCAACAGGGAAGTTATAAACCATTTGTGAGAATGCAATAGAGGCGTTTTTTAAAGAAGCTATCGGATCTTTTGATAATATTGTCTTGTAGATGATAAGCGTCTTATAAAAAAAATCCCCTGTCCTTATCCATAAGACATAACTTACCTTTTTTCTATGTTTTTACAGTTCTTTATTGAAATATTTTGTTATAAATATGCGCGTATTCATCATTAGATAACCTTTATTATTGCACTAAAGTCTGTAGAGATAATATATTTGATGTAATTGTTGAAAAGAAACACATTGCCAGTAAATTTATTTGTTACACCCTCTCATACAATAACTTATATCATTACAGTAAAGTCTGTAGTGATAATATATTTGATGTAATTGTTGAAAAATAAACATATTGCCAGAAAATATATTTGTTACACCCTCTCATTCAATAACTTATATCATTAAAGTAAAGTCTGTAGTGATAATATATTTGATGTAATTGTTGAAAAATAAACATATTGCCAGTAAATTTATTTGTTACACCCTCTCATTCAATAACTTATTTTATTGCATTAAAGTCTGTAGAGATAATATATTTGATGTAATTGTTGAAAATATAAACATATTCCCAGTAAATACAATTATTTTAAAATAAAACTACAACCTTTCGCAATAAGTTTCTTTTATTATGATATGCGCGAGCTTTCGGGCTGGAGCCGCCCTTCTACAGGCAAAAATGAAACGTTTGATTTCGCAATAAGTTTCTTTTATTATGATATGCGCATATCATAATAAAAGAAACTTATTGCGAAAGGTTGTAGTTTTATTTTAAAATTTGTAGCGCAATTTTTTCGTTTACTTCAAATACAATTATTATAATTTTTCTCAATAGATGGTAATTGAAATTATAAAATTAGAATACTTATTTATTCAATACTAAATGAATAACCCGATAAATAACAAAGCGCTTTGCCAGGATAGAAAACTTTACTCGAATGTATAATAGAAAATACGTGTAGAATAGAATAATAAACTACATTTATAAATTTTAATTGTCATCTATCTTTAGAAATATTTGTACCAATTTTTGTACATATATAAATAAATATTTTTTTATCAAATAATCTTTATATAAAATATTTGATAAAATAGGTAAAATAGAAACACATTGCCAAAAATCAATTGATACAAATTTCGAGAATAATAACTGTTTTTTAATATTCATCATCTCTATATATATAAAAGTCAATGTCTGTCTGTTTCGCGATAAACTCAAATACTACTGATCCAATTGGTACTAAATTTTGCATGTCGCTTTTTATAAACCTGAGGAAAATTTTCGGCTACATTTTGATTAGTATTTTTGGCTATTTCTTTTTTTCATTTGAAGAACTTTTTTTTCAAGCGGAGTAAATACGAGGCGAAGTAACAACACGAGGCCAATTAAGCGACCAATAATCGTTCTGCATTTCTTTTCAAGTTGCTTGCGTACTTTTTTAAAATATTTTTTTATACGAGTGTCACTTTTTTTACAAAAGTATTGAGAAAAAAAATTATATTACTAAGTTACGGTAAGTGCACACAATTCAATAAAAAAAAAAACTTTACAAAATTAGCGTTACTGTATGTAAACAATGGCTTTCGTATTTTTTATTAATTTTTGTTCTGGCCTTTGTTTTTTTTTATATCTCTCTATATATAAAAGTCAATGTCTGTCTGTCTGTTTCGCGATAAACTCAAAAACTACTGAACCAATTGGTACCAAATTTTGCATGTCGCTTTTTATAAACCTGAGTAAAATTTTCGGCTACATTTTGATAAGTATTTTTGGCTATTTCTTTTTTTCATTTGAAGAGCTTTTTTTTTAAGCGGAGTAGTCCGGAATGAAATGAATACCCAAATATGGCCATTTTTTATACGCATCGGTGGTTCAGTGGTAGAATGCTCGCCTGCCACGCGGGCCATAGAATAGCAACACAGAAGTAACACATAAACTACAGGAATAAGTGTGTGTGATGGCAAAAATTTGTATTATATTAGTGTTTAGGTATTCGATTCCCGGCCGATGCATTTTTTTTTCAAAATTTTTAAAACTCATTTATATTATATAGACGAATGGCCCGGGCAACGTCCGGGGTTTACCCGAGTGCGAATATATTTTAAAAACGTTGACTTGGGTGGTCATAGCGCCCGATTTTAAATACGTAGTACGATGCGATTTACATTAAAAGTAACCTGTCTATAGCAGCCCCTCTCTATAAAAATGATTTCTTGAATATCTTGAATATCCTTAGAGTTATTTGCAGAATTGTAGATATAACTCGCAAACAGCGCCGCCAGACGGTGATGAAAGCAATGGGGAGGTAACGCCATCTATATTTTATTTTTTAAACTGTTTATATTAAAAGGGGGAATTGTTAGGTTTATTAATTCAAATAATTTTTCTCCGTGTAAATAATTATGTAAATATATGAATAAATATAAATTGATGATGATAATATTAGCTAGCATATGTTAATTAACAAATTGGCAACGTAGTTAGTGCCTTCTTGATCCTTTCTTGTTTTTTTTATTTCTTCTTAATCCTTAAATTTTACTTTTGTACTTTCTATGCATAAAGATAATATTAAAAAATATATTATATAACATTTTTATATTTATTCATATATTTACATAATTATTTACACAGAGAAAAATTATTTGAATTAATAAACCTAACAATTCCCCCCTTTTAATATAAACAGTTTAAAAAATCAAACATAGATGGCGTTACCTCCCCATTGCTTTCATCACCGTCTGGGGGCGCTGCTTGCGAGTTATATCTACAATTCTGCAAATAACTCTAAGGATATTCAAGATATTCAAGAAATCATTTTTCGAAAACCTTTCCGGGGATATACCTAATAATATCCCAGAATTTCATGGCGATTGGATGTATGGTTTTTGAATAACAGGGTTGTCTAGAGGGGGGCAGGGAAGCCACGTGTTCGCTGGCGGCCAATGGGAGCGCATTCTATCCGTGAGCTTCAGACAAACAGACAAACAGACAAACAGACAAACAAACAGACAGAATAAGGCAAATATATAAGTAGATACTAGACGTATGACCCGGCTTCGCCCGAGAATTCCCTCGATTGCAATTTCCTTCATACTGAAAGTACATCAATAATAAATATTAGAAGTGCCATAGAATAGCAACACAGAAGTAACACCTATACTACAGGAAAAAGTGTGTGTGATGGCAAAAAATGTATTATATTAGTGTTTAGGTATTTGAGTTAATTAATATAGTTGATATTATAATATATATATATATAATATATAAATAATATAAATGAGTTTTAAAAATTGTAAAAAAAAAATGCATCGGCCGGGAATCGAACCCGGGCCGCTCGCGTGGCAGGCGAGCATTCTACCGCTGAACCACCGATTCTTATAAAAATGGCCATATTTGGGTATTCATTCCATTCCGGATTACTCCGCGTAAAACGAAAGTTTTTCAAATGAGAAAAGAAATAGCCATCGGGGGAATTCTCGGGCGAAGCCGGGTCATACGTCTAGTAATAAATAAAAGTTACAGTCAATATGATAATTCTTAAAATTAAACAAGCAATAGTCAATATGCAAAAAATACAAACTAACTTAATTAAATATTCTAATATCAAGCAATATGCAAAATCTCTCCTAATATTTAAATGTACATATTATTAGCATCTTAACGGGGTTTATTCGTTTTTATGTACTCCTTAAGGGAAGGCAGAAATACTCGAAAGTTTGATATTGTTTTAATAAAGTGTAAAGAATCTCCAGAACTATTTTTTGCGCGGCAGTAAATACGAGGCGAAGTGACAACACCAGTCGAATTAACCGACCAATGAGCATTCTGCATATTTTCCAAATCGCTTGCCCAACTTTTTTTTTAAATATCTTTTTATAAGAGTGTCCTATAGTAATAGGACAGAGGTCGACAACCTAGTGAGTCAGAAGAGTCAAAAATTACATTTTACATTATTTCAAAGTTTTTAAAGAGCCAAAAATTGCATTTCTTGCCAACAATAAATTGTACTCGCATAAATAAAAACGTTATTTATTTATACAAAGTACTACACGCAGCTTCTAAAACTATACGAAGCTTCACATCCAAAGAGCCGCATGATGCTCATGAGCCGCAGGTTGCTGACCCCTGATATAAGGCAATAATGCTCCAACTACACTGTATATATACGAAAAAAAACAAACAATTAAGCATTCAATTTTCTTTTAAAAATGAAATACATTTTTACACTTCTTATTGCGATGAAAACTATATTGGGTGGGCTTAGCTCATCAGTAGTGAAACATCACAGCGGTCTGGTAGATTGATTGGCGAAACCGCTTAAAGGGTTAATCACTAATAATCCAAGCCCTTACAATATATTGTAACGTAGAAATTAAGAAAAGAAAAGCTTCAGGATGACACAGCCATTTATTTAAGGCACAAACTAAAATTATATAAAGTAATGTATAATACAATATAATGCGGTTTATAATTGTAGAACGAGATTTGAAAATTATCCGGCATGTGTTTATTTTGAACGAAAAATCGAAATTTATTTTAAGGAGCAATAACGATTATTTCTAACCTTAGGGATGAGGTATGAAAGGATGAAGTGTGAAGAGTAATGATAAACGGAAAAATAAAAGTGTCCAGGGATGGTATTTCTCCTTAAAATAAATTTCAATTTTTTGTTCAAAAGAAACACATGCGGGATAATTTTCAAATGTCGTTCTACAAACTAAAATTGATTAAAAAAAACAAGAGAAGCAATGAGGGAAGTTTACACAAAGTAATAAAATATATAAACATCAAAATTAATAATATGTTAATAAATAAAAATAACTTTGCTACAATATTTTATTATCGTAGTAAGAACAGTAAATTTTTGTTTTATGTTTAAATGAAACTTGTTTGCTTAAAGGTTTTCCTTTCTTTTTTTAGTATATAATAGTAGAAATTAAAAAGTAAGACTTACCTGCAGAATCAACAATGTTGTTTTCTAATATCATATATAAACATAGTAATGTGAGACTACTTATATGTTTCATATCTTTAATATATTAATTATGATTCGATAATAAATGGGAGGATGGTCTAGTCAACAGGGAAGTTATAAACCATTTGTGAGAATGCAATAGAGGCGTTTTTTAAAGAAGCTATCAGATCTTTTGATAATATTGTCTTGTAGATGATAAGCGTCTTATAAAAAAAATCCCCTGTCCTTATCCATAAGACGTAACTTACCTTTTTTCTATGTTTTAACAGTTCCTTATTGAAATATTTTGTTATAAATATGCGTGTATTCATCATTAGATAACTTTTATTATTGCACTAAAGTCTGTAGAGATAATATATTTGATGTAATTGTTGAAAATAAACACATTTTCAGTAAATTTATTTGTTACACCCTCTCATACAATAACTTATATCATTACAGTAAAGTCTGTAGTGATAATATATTTGATGTAATTGTTGAAAAATAAACATATTGCCAGTAAATTTATTTGTTACACCCTCTCATTCAATAAATTATTTTATTGCATTAAAGTCTGTAGGGATAATATATTTGATGTAATTGTTGAAAAATGAACATATTCCCAGTAAATACAATTATTACAATTTTTCTCGATAGATGGTAATTGAAATTATAAAATTAGAATACTTATTTATTCAATACTAAATGAATAACCCGATAAATAACAAAGCGCTTTGCCAGGATAGAAAACTTTACTCGAATGTATAATATAAAATATGTGTAAAATAGAATAATAAATTACATTTATAAATTTTAATTGTCATCTATCTTTAAAAATATTTGTACCAATTAATTTACAACAAATAGTTTCTTTTTTGTACATATATAAATAAATATTTTTTTTAATCAAATAATCTTTATATAAAATATTTGATAAAATAGGTAAAATAGAAACACATTGCCAAAAATCAATTCATACAAATTTCGAGAATAATAACTGTTTTTAATATTCATCATCTCTATATATATAAAAGTCAATGTCTGTCTGTTTCGCGATAAACTCAAACAATACTGATCCAATTGGTACTAAATTTTGCATGTCGCTTTTTATAAACCTGAGGAAAATTTTCGGCTACATTTTGATTAGTATTTTTGGCTATTTCTTTTTTTCATTTGAAGAAATTTTTTTTCACGCGGAGTAAATAAGAGGCGAAGTAACAACACGAGGCCAATTAAGCGACCAATGAGCGTTCTGCATTTCTTTTCAAGTTGCTTGCGTACTTTTTTTAAATATCTTTTTATACGAGTGTCACTTTTTTTTTACAAAAGTATTGAGAAAGAAATTTATATTACTAAGTTACGGTAAGTGCACACAATGCAATTAAAAAAAAAAAAAACTTTACAAAATTAGCGTTACTGTATGTAAACAATGGCTTTCGTATTTTTTAATAATTTTTGTTCTGGCCTTTGTTTTTTTTAATATCTCTATATATATAAAAGTCAATGTCTGTCTGTCTGTTTCGCGATAAACTCAAAAACTACTGAACCAATTGGTACCAAATTTTGCATATCGCTTTTTATAAACCTGAGGAAAAATTTCGGCTACATTTTGATTAGTATTTTTGACTATTTCTTTTTTCATTTGAAGAACTTTTTTTACGCGGAGTAGTACGGAATGGAATGAATACCCAAATATGGCCATTTTTTATATGCATCGGTGGTTCAGTGGTAGAATGCTCGCCAGCCACGCGGGCGGCCCGGGTTCGATTCCCGGCCGATGCATTTTTTTTTTCAAAAATTTTAAAACTCATTTATATTATATACTAGACGTATGACCCGGCTTTGCCCGAGAATTCCCCCGATTGCAATTTCCTTCATACTGAAAGTACATCAATAATAAATATTAGAAGTGCCTTAGAATAGCAATACAGAAGTAACACATAAACTACAGGAAAAAGAGTGTGTGATGGCAAAAATTGTATTATATTATTGTTTAGGTATTTGATTTAATTAATATCTCTCTCTATATATAAAAATGAATGTTTGTATGTCTGTCTG